TATTCCCTACGAGTTGCTGGTCTCTGTCTTCGGCAGAGGGCTCGGAGCTGAACAGCACCAGCCTGGCCAGAGCGCACCACTAACACGGGTCAAGCGGCGCTGCCTTAAACTGCCTTTTACAGGGCACCTAACGATGGGCGCACACGGAGGGACCGATTCCCAGGAAGAGCCCTGCAGATCCGGAGCCCCGGAGAACGGGGCTGGGAGGCGCCTCGGCACATCCCAGTGCGCTGTTCCCAGCAACCGGTCCGCAGCCGTCAGGGGCTCCACGGACKCCAAGGGCTGAGCTGCTCCCTCCTGGCACCGTCTCGAGCTACTGACCATGAAGTGACAGTAAGAGCTGGGAGCTGCTCGGCCAAGGATGGAAACAGCCCGCGAATCGCTCTGCTGCAGGCCGAGCAACAGGAAGAGCAGCAATCCAAGCTTTTCACTGCTTTAGCCACAGCGGCGGGGATTTTTTCATGGACACTGGGTCTTCCGGGTGCTTCCCAATGCTTTCCGTGCTCAGGACGTCGAGAAATGTTTCCCTTTGCTGAGGCCAAGAGCCCCGGACCGACCTGGGCAACCTGCAGCCCCAGAGCCCTGCGCCTGCTCCTGCTCCCTGGTGCTGGGCCCGTGGGGAGTCCCTGAAATCCCATGGGATGGGACAGAGCAACCAAAAACACGAGGAAYAAGAGGAGGAAGGGGCAGTGTTTCAGTGCCCACATGGAGAACATGCTAGAATGATGCCCAGGAGATGGAACCCAAGGGACTGCCACTGCTTACATGGCTCAAAYGCCTCCGGTCCATCCCCTGATCTACGGTGCCCTAAGGAGACACTCGTGGGCTCCAAGGGGTTTGCACCCTCTGTGCAAAAACAGAGCCCCAGGTCTCCATGGCCAGCACCTGGAGGCTGATTCACACCAGCTGAGGATGCCAGGAAGGACTTCAGGCCACACAGCCATCAAGACAAGTTCATTAAACCTACTCCCAAAGGGGAATATTATTTGTTAAACATTTAAATCGGGAGACCAATAATGCAGAGCACCTCTGGCTCTTTGCTCTATAACAAACCTTGGCCCAGAGGGGAGGCTCCACGACGAGGGAGATGCTGCTCTTTATTACAAAGGGGTCAAGCAGGTAGCAACGGGTCAGTGGGAACAACACTAATCCCAGACAGAGCCATGGAAAAGTTGATAAAGGATTTGGAGAATAGAGCTTAATTACAGGGCTGCTTTAATCTCTGGCGAGAGCCGCTTAGCGGAAAATACAGCTTATCACACACACTTAATTTCATTCTTAGGTTAACCAACTTGGTAATCACTCCAAACACACACAATTAGCACATGGACATGAAACTCCTATTAATATTCTCCTATAGGATAAGATGTGTGCACAATATAGAAGCACATATACACCGAGCAATTAGCTGCTCCTCCAAACCTCCCCTTTGTGGTTTTCTAACAGGGCGCGAGCGCATACGAGTCCCAGCAAAACCACCTAAAAAGTCACCCACCAGAGACCAATGCGTGAAGCAGATAAAAATACATAAGTAACGACGATATCGTTCGCAGGCGACACAAAAGGTGGTGGGACAAGAGGCCGTGAGAGCAGGCGGGCACAGAGAGGAGCCCGGCCCTTTCCAGCACCCCACACTTCAACAGCAGCAGGTGCCACGGGATGGATCGGGGCAAGAGGGACGCGAGTTGCAACTGCTAAGGGCCACGTCCCCAGCAAAGCAGCCAGAGCTCCGAAAACCTCCAGCTCAGGAGACCAGCGAAGGGAGCACGAGGGAAATTTTATCTGTGTCTAAAGTGACGAAGCAGTTGCTGCAATCCCACAGCTACCTCTGTGTGGTTAAAGGGGTTTGGGGCTTGGGTTTTATTTACTAAAGGCTGTTTAAAAATCGTTCGCCTCTTTCAAAAAGCCACAAAGGCAGCTTGGGAGCAGGATGAGGGGTTTTTTAATGCTGGGACAGACTGGAAGAGCTCACGCCATATAATGGACCAGGAAGATAAAAGGAATTGGAAAATAAAAGTGGGTATTTTAGTAGTGATAAGAGCTCGGGATGCTGCAAAGGAGAGGCCAGCAAAATACCTGCATGCTGAAGCCATAAAATTTGGCATAATTAGCAACACCAACGACCACCACCAGGCATAGGGAAGAACAAGTGAAGTTGTAGGGCCCAGGTACGTATATGTCATATGGGATAATCTGTTTCTTCCTGTCTTTATTCCGTGACAGTGTGAGTCATGAATTTATAACCTAGAGGGAGGAGAGCACAAAACACAGGGCTGGACATGGGACACTGCATATGGAGAGCTTGGGAGAAGCTAAAACTAAGGGAGAACATGAGAGAAATGCAGAAATACCACAGCATTAGCCAGGCAGGAAAGCGCTCTGCGTGTTTAGAGGAGCAGCAGYGAAGGGGACAGATTTCAGCACAAGAACCAGCAACCGCCACAGGAGCAGACAGGGGATCCCTCCTGTCACATGTGGCTTCCATTAGAGGTGGCAGGGACGGGCCACCAAAGTATCCCATTCCCTAACTGGCTTCCCAGCACCCAAAACAGGCCAACGGGCCCCCAAAAACACACAGGCCAATGGGCCCAAGCTGCTGCTGAAGAGCTAATCACTTTGCTCTGATCTGATTCATCAGTCAATCGTGGGGTGCTCGGGTTTATGCACGAGATGATTCCAGGAAAAAAGGGTTTCCCTTCCCCTAATGCTGRTTCTACAGCATTAAGTGATTCTTAGAAACCTAGAGATGACAAAATACTCTGCAAAAGAGAGGAGGAATCAGAACAGCAGAAGGAAGTGCAATTAGGAGCAATGGATGTAATTAGCCAATGCTCAACAGCGGGAAAGACATCCCAAAATGGAATATTTTGATGCCAGGCACATCACGGACTCCAGGGGACCCCTCCAAGGACGGGCTGAACGTGCTGGGCATCCTCTAAAACATCCCGCAGGGGTGGACAGTGCAGTGGGACGTCCCGGGCACCCGGTGGCACCAAGGGATGCAGCGCTTCCTGCCGTATCCTCGTCTCCTGTTTTGTTCCCAGCACAGCCGGGATGGTCTTTGTGCCACATCTGCCCAGGCGGTCCTGGCCCACRCCACCAACTTGGAATCACAGAAATGAAAGAGCAGGGAAAGGGAAAAAATAAAAATATAGAGCTGGAAGGGACTTCAAGCAGGATCTCATCCTTCCCCTGCCCAAGGGCGAGGATTACTACACTTGCCCTTTCTCAAGCAGAAAACTCTCTCCCCGATGGGCGGGACGCAAACCCACCCAGACAGATGAATTAGTTGGACCTTAACTTTAGCATCTTAACCCCTCTGTCACCCATTGATAATAGGGACGTGGCCCCACGCACTGTGGCTGCAGCGTCTAAGYGTGGTGGCAATTAAAGCCCAGCTCTGTAAGCAGCATCCCACACGATTCCCGGGCTGTGCTGGGAAGCGGCTCTTCCAAGAGGCTCCTGCAGGCACACACTCCTTCCATGATGCCCACGAGGAACCTTCTCCGAAGCTTCCAGCTACCACGGCTTGCTCCGGAGCATGCAGCGCATCGCGCCTACCCTGAAACGCTATAAAAATCCTCAGAGCAAGTGCTTACGTGTGTATTATTAATAACGCTCCCGATGGAGGCAGGGAAAGCTGCCCCACAGCAGCAAYGTGGAAACCCCACAAGCACCAGTCCCGCGAGCACCTCCTTCGGTTTGTCACGCCAGCAAAGCACGGGCCCTTCTTCACCCCACACATTCCTCAGCGCTTCTCCTGCAGGCACGCAAGGACATGCACAGAGTCCCACCCTGCGACCGACTGCCACCCCATATGGAGAAACGAGATTAACTGCCCTTCGCTCTAGGAAAGGACCAAAACACCCACGCTCGTATCTCTGCCTCCCGTCACCTCAATCTTTTTTTTTTTATTTTTTTTTTTTATTAAAGTTTTGCAAACAAATCTAAGCAGTTCTTAGCACTGTGCAGTTCACCTTAGCAGGTTTCACAGAAAAGCCTAAGAAACCTGGGCAGTTAAAGAACAAACCCACAGCCCTTCAGCAACCTCGTAACCTCCGTAAGTTTGTGCCCATGCTCAACCACCGGCACTTTAAACCCATTTATATTTGAAGACAGGTAAGTAAATTAACTCCAAAATCATGATTTTGCAAAACTTAAAAGACAGGAACGGCTGCTGGGGAGAGGGTTTAGGTCAAGGTCTGAAGGTAAGCTCTGGATAACACTAATTAGATTTGTAATTAAGTGCACCTGGTAACACTCTTCCATCTCTAAGCACCTTCCAGCCCGAACAGTTTTACTGCAATGAATCATAAATATATATACACACCACCTGCGCACAGCCCTGACCTCCAGCCATACCCCACACACCCCTGTGTGTGCTATGGGRAATGTATTTTTGTTTACACACCTAGTTTTTGTGAGAAACTTCAGTTTTACTTCAAACAGGGGGAAAAAGGAGGAGCACAAGGGTTTGCTGAACCCACAAAGTGGCGTCTTTAAGGACGGCCGTGTTGTTAATAGCGTAACAACAATTAAGAGCATAAATTATACCCATTTAAGGCATACAAAGTACCAAATTAATAAAAATCAGGGGATGTCTCCTGAGAAAGAGGCATCTCTTACGAAGCCAATGTCGCAGCAGAAGCAACTGCTGCCAAACCCTCGGCGGCTTCAGCGAAAGAAATAAAAATTARTAAGAGAGCACCAAAAGGGATGGTGGGGGGAGCTGGCAGGGCCTCCTTCCAGCTGCGGGAACCGCTGGAAAAGGGAACGACGCTTGATAAGGGAACAAAGGGGACGGCCAGGGCAGTGTCACCGGGGACACACGGGGGTGACGAGGGGAGGCCGCGGGTGACACGGGCTGCCCGGAGAGGCCACGCGAGAGGCGGCTCCCCGCGTGGGGAGAAAAGGAGGAGGGGGAAAAAGCAGGGAGCGAAGGGCGGAAAGGCGCTGCTTTCCGCCGGGCCGGGCTCCGAGGGCGGGCGCGCCGGCCGTACCTGAGCGTGGGGCCGATGCAGGCCGTGTCGGTGCTCTCGATCTCGCGCAGGATGCGCTCGTGCTCCGCCGCCGTCTCCAGGCTCTCCAGCTCCGCCATCTTCCCGCGCTCCATGGCGGGCGGCGGCGCCGCCAGCACGGAGCCGCCCGGCTACCTGCCGCCCTTTCCCTTCCCTCCCTTTCCCGTCGCTTTCCCGTCGCTTTCCTCGCCTCCCCGGCGCGGCCCGGCCCCGGCACGCCGGGAAATGTAGTGCGGCGGCGCGGCCTGCGCGGAGGAGGCGGGAAGGGGCGGCCGCCATGGCGGGGGCGGGGGGAGGCGCGGCCCCGGTGGCACCGCCTCGTGCCCCGAGGGGAGATGTGGCCTCATGGGGTGGCCTCCGTGTCCCCGTGAGGCCACACGGCCCGCATGGCAGTGACAGCGCATCGGCCCCTGTGGGGAGACATGGCCCCATGTGGCCCTGTAAGGGGTGTGATCCCCATGGCAGTGACATCATATTGTCCCCTGTGAGGAGATGTGGCTCCATGTGGCCCTGTAAGGGGATGTGGGTGGCAGTGACATCACATCACCCCCATGAGGTGACATGGGCTCATGTGGCCCTGTAAGGGGTGTGATCCCCATGGCAGTGACATCGTATTGTCCCCTGTGAGGAGACATGGCCCCACATGGCCCTGTAAGGGGATGTGGGTGGCAGTGACATCGCATTGTTCCCCATGGGATGTGGCCCTGTAAGGGGATGTGAGTTGTGGCAATGACATCAAGTTGTCCTCCATGAGGACATGAGGACCCTCCATGAGGACCCGCGGCCCCACGGTGGTGGCCTAATGTGTCCCTGTGAGGGGACACGTCCCCCATGGAAATGACATCATGTTGTCCCAGTGAGGAGTTATAGCCCCATGGTGGTGGCCTCATGTGGCCCTGTAAGGGGATGTGGTCCCCTTAGCAATGACATCATATTGTCCCCCTTGAGGACACGCGGCCCCACGGTGGTGGCCTAATGTGTCCCTGTGAGGGGACACGTCCCCCCATCCAATGACATTATATTGTCCCTTTGGGGAGACATAATCCCATAGTGGTGGCCTCATGTGGCCCTGTGAGGAGACATGGCCCCCCATGGCAGTGATGTCACGTTGTGTCCTATAAGGAGACCTGGCCCTGTGGTGGTGGCCTCATGTGGCCCTGTAAAGGGATGTGGTCCCCATGGCAATGACACTGTGTTGTCCCCTGTGAGGAGATGTGGTCCCTGTGGCAATGACATCACATTGTTCCCCTCGAGGAGACATGGCCCCATGGTGGTGGCCGCCTGTTGTCCTGTGAGGGATATGGCCCCCATGTCAGTGACATCCTGTCCTCCCTATGAGGAGACATGGCCACATGGTGTGGTCTTGTGTGGTCCCATGAGTGGATGCGGCCCCMACAGCAGTGACATCGCTGGTGGCCTTGTGTGGGCCCATGAGGGGATGYTGTCCCCATGGCAGTGATGCCGTATCATCCCCTGTAAGGAGATATGGCCCCATGTTGGTGGCCTCATGTGGCTCTATGAGGGGACACAGCCCCCATGGCAGTGACATTGCATCTACCCCATGAGGAGACATGRCCTCCATGGCAATGTCTTCATGTCATTGTCAAGAGGGACACATCCACCAGGCAGCAAGCTCGCATCATCGCCCAAGGGGCRACAAGGTCCCCATGTCAATGACACTGTGTCCTCCCCCATGAGAGGGTACAGCCCCATGGCAGCAAACTCCTGTCAATCTCCATGAGGGAACACAGCTCCCATGGCAGCAACCTTGTGTCATCGTCATGAGGGGACACATCCCCCGGGGGAGTAACCTCACATCGTCCTCCACAAGGACATGGTCCCCATGGCATCAACCTCRCATTGTCCCCTGAGAGAGGACACATCAGCCATGGGAACAAGCCCCCGTTATCCCCCATGAAGATGCAGACTCCATGGCAGTGACACCCTTGTCACCCCTCATGTGCAGAAGTCCCAGCACTGGGTCCTGTGTCACCACCCCAAGGGACACCCAGAGGGACACCACCCTGAGGAGAACTGCCCTAGTGCCAATCGCATGTATGGATGGACATCCCCCCATGGCATCAGCCCCCATGTCACACCTCCATGTCACTCCTCCATGAAGGGAGACCTTCCCACATGGGAATGGCCCCCTTGTCACATAGCCCATGGCAATGACACCTTTGTCACCCCTCACAAAGAGAGACTCCCACCACGGTGAAATCCAGCATGACTCCCCAACCCGAGCCCCCCATGGTGCTATGTCCCATGGCAATCTTCCTGGAGTAGAGATGCCCGCCGTGAGACTGTCCCTAGCTCCTCATGGGGGGAGACCCCAACATCCTCCCCTCAGTGACATGGAGACATCACCTATGTTGAAGCCACTTTCAGCCTGAACTGCCTCGTGTCCCCATCACAGCTYGCTGCTCCTCCATCTCTGCAGCTCCGGTGGGACCAGAGACAGCCTTGGCGCTCCTGCTCCATCGGGGCGGACTTGCCCAGGCACGAGTGGTCCCACCACCTCCTGCTCTACTAAAGACCTCCCACCTTGCTTGAGACCCCCAGTCAGACGTCACCCGCGTGATCCCCAGCTGAAGAGAGCCCTCCTGGCAGGACTAACCTCCTCCTTCCTTCCCACCCCATCACGGGCCCCATCAGAGCTTCCCACCACAGCCCTAGTGAAGGACGGGATGCACAGAATTGCGTTTCATGTCCGTCCAGGGGTGACTTCCCCTGGAAGAGTCACCTCAGCTTTTCCAGCCACGAAACCTCCGTTCAGGCGGCCCCGGCCTGTCCCGGAGCATCATCAAAGATGTCACCTCCAATTCTGAGTGACATCGACTCCGGCAGGCTTCACCGCGAAAGAATCTTCCTGTTGACTCCGAAACATCTTTCATCTTCATCCTAAAATGTTTCAGCAGCTGTTTAATTATGGCACCATTGAAAGGCCCGAGAGCGGCCAGAGCCACCCAGCGAACGTTGCACAACAATGAGAGAGGCCTCCTTGCCCAAGGACATCGGCGTCCACAGAAGCGCTGCCAGGCGCCATAAACAACCTCCCGTATCAAGGTCCCCGCCAGATTTTGCTGTGACTCGCAGCTCTAATCTCCCCTTTGCAGCGGCTCTGTGTTACTATTATCATCCCGGGCTGTTCAGCTGGGAGGAGAGGGCCCTGTTTCCCTTGCAGCAGGTGCCATGGAGCAGCCGGGGATCCCACGCTCCGAAGGGGCGCGGGCGACGGGCCGGACACGTAYGCTGGGATGAAGCACCTTGGCAAAGAGGAACAGTGCAAGAACACATACTACAAACACCCCGGCTGCCTCCYAGTGCGAGATTTATTAAAGCTCTCGTGGTTTCATGTTTGAAGAGACAAATACTCTCCATGAACGGGACGAGCACACCCTAACCTCACAGCTTTCTAAGAGGTTCCATTTTGCTGGCCTGAGTATTCACCTGTATTATCAAATGGTTAAACATGAAAGGGGATAAAAGACCTTCCCAAGCCACAGCACATGCCACAAACATAGCAGTAGAGGATGGGCAAGCGAAGCCTGCAAAGAAAGTTTGTTGGTTTATGTGAAGTTCCCCAGCTCTCGTACATGGTGCCTACGGCTGCCAAATACCGCGTCTTGCGAGAGCAGATGGGTGTCGCTTCGGATGTGTTAAAAGCACGGAGGAAATCTGTATTCCCGTGGCAGTCACCATGGAGATGCGATAAAGCTTTCAGAGGACCAGAAGCAAGAGAGACACATAAGTGATATAATGGAAGCAGATAAAAATAGCAGGCCAGTTTGGGAGCCCAGCCGGCTGGAGCGGCATTCCCGCTGGGCTGGCTGCAGGATGGATGGCGATCCAGCGGGAAGAGCCTTGTGCTTCCAGCCCTGCGAGCTCCGGCTTCGATCCCCGGCGGCAAAGCGGAATGGCACCTGCTTGAAAGGACACAAAATTTGTGATTTAAAACTGCTCTGGACAGCGGACCTCCAAGATGAGCTACCCACGGCTATAGGAACCGTATACCATATCCCACTCGGTGTGTGACGCGTATCACGCTCCACAAAATCCCCCGATTYCACCTTCTACCGCTGTTTGCCACTAAGAAGATTACAGTTTTCGCTCAGTTAGTATGAGCTTGTTGTCAGGGGCTGAGCCGATACTCACCAGAACATGGCACTGACTTCAGGGAGCTCTGGAAACGGGATTAAACAGCGCAGGGCAAAGAGCGACTGCCTGGTGACGGTTCTTGGCGGTTTTAGTTGCAGGATGAGAACCACTAAAAGCTACACCAATTCCAGGCTCAACCTCAAACGCACGGTTAGATAATAATGTTATCCCAAATAAAGCTCTTGGAAACAGAGTTGACTTTTCTGTGTTTTGAGGACACTGGGCTACAGGACGCGTGGTTTGAGCATGGAGATGGGAGGCGAGAAAGGGAGCTGTCCTCAAACCCCGACGTTTACTGCTCCGTCGCCTTGAGTCCCACCTGCAGAAAGGAGCGGGGCTGGTGCAGAGGCTGCRGAGGGCAGGGCACCAAGCGGGGTGCCCTGGAGCCCAGCACAGCATTAACCCYTGCAGAGGAGAACGGGAAGATATTTGAGGCGTTGTGGCAGGCTCATTAAACAGACAATTTACACTAGATGATCTCTAAAGGTCCCTTCCAACCTTAATGATTCTATGATTATAAATGTTGCATCTGTAGTAGAACGTGCACTGCAAAATAGTACTTTTTTTTTAATTTTACACCAAAACATCGCATTATTCTCAAGGGGAGAAAAGAACCCTCAAATACCTCCACGGATTTATATTGTTAATGACAAATGGGGAAGGAGAGGGACACTGCTGCCTCCCAGCATGACCTTTGAGGAGCACCGCTCAGATTTTCRTGCACTGACTACTTTCCAGAGCTATGGTAGCATCTGGGCTTATTTTTCAGAGCTTCGTGCTGTTTCAGATGTCTTGGGCCACCCCATCTGGCCTCTGACCAGCTTCAAATTTCAGCCCTGGGGCTTTTTGTGTCTTTGCCTGCGTGGAGGGAGTGCTGTGATCGAGCAGTTGTGCTCTTGCACGGTCCTAAAGTCGGGATCAAATCATTTCCTAACCTCTTTGAGGAGACCAGACTGAGATCTTGGAGCCCTTCATACTGAGACACATTTTTTCAGGTGACTTTTTCAGGTCACCGCTGGCCAGGATGACATTGCCCAAGCTGTCACCAAGGCTGCACTCTTTGTCACGCAGCATGTGGTCACCTTGCCATGAATATTCACGGCTTCGGCCTCGCTTACTGAGCAATCCGATTGCAGAGCATTAAGGATTTATCCTCATTATTTGCTACTGCAGCARCTTGGTACCGCTTGAAAGTCTGCCCGTAGCAACTTCATTTATTCCTATCAGGCACCGATATAAGGAGGCTGAGCTTGTCTTGTTCTAATTTATTAATCAAAACATCATGCAGTACCAGCACAAATGCCTCGGAGATGTCTGTTCCAGCAACAAGCTCCCAACCGCGTTGAAAAATGATATCTAATTTGTTTGACAGAATCCATTCCCCCTCACCACGCTGGCTGCCATAAACTGCCTTAATTCCCTGCTAACAAAGTCCCATATCATTAGTTACATTATTTTTTAACGGAGCTGACACCAGTCTGATGGAGCTCTAATTATTTAAGCACTCCCTTTTAATTGATGACCTCTCATTAGCGTTTTTCCAGTCCTCTAGAACTTGTCCCACGTTTCAAAACTTATTAAAAATCAATAAAACAGAGCAGGGCGCCGGGGCAGCCTTCAAACCGCCTCCAACCCGAGTTGCTGCTTTAGCTGTCCGGCTTTGCCAGCAGCTGCTCCCTGGCTCTGGAATGGAAACCCTCGTCACTGCACGCGAATTACCCGGAAATTTCTCCAAATTCAGGACAGCTTTATGAGGCGGCATCATCCTATCATTTCAATAGAATAAATACCCTTGTTTCCTTCTTCTCCAGTTATCTCAGCAATCGCTTTCTTGCTTTTTGTGGTGGTCTCCAGTTTTTCATTCTGGGCTTTTCCTCCTCTTAACAATTTTTTAACAGTTTTTCAGTAGCTTCCATGTCCTTGGAAGCTTCCATGTCCTTGTCCTTCCATGTCTTTCCTTCCTGTCACCAGCCTCCCCTCCCTGCTGCTCACTCCTCCTTTTGAGCAGGTTCCGTAGTCACCCAACCAGGTGAGTGGCCTCAGCCCTCCTTCTTACTCAGGCTATTTTCATTTCCCTAAAATCAGATGGGTTCCTCGACCCACACTGGAGCCCTGGAGCCCCCCGAGCTCTCCAGCTGCCTCCTCTTCCTCCACCACCTCAACCTTTGGGGTTCTCCTTTTGCAAGAACCCAACGCTCTGCTGAGCTGAGTCTTTGTCCTCCTCCTAACTGAGCATTATCTSATCAGTGTCTACAAATACCTGAAGGGAGGGAGTGGGGAGGATGGGGCGGCCTCTTTTCAGTCGTGGCCACTGATAGAACTAGAGGCAACAGCCACAAACTGAAACACCAAAAGTTCCGCAGGAGGCCAAGGGAAAATTTCTTGTCAGTGAGCCCAGTTGACCCTGGCACAGGCTGCTCAGGGAGGCTGTGGAGTCTCCTTCTCTGGAGATCTTCAAACCTGCTTGGATGCAGCCTGTGCCAYGTGCTCTGGGTGACCCTGCGTGTGCAGGGGGTTGGACTAGATGATCTCCAGAGGTCCCTCTCAACCTTAAAATTTCTATCATTCTATGATCTGCCACCAGGAAAGACAGGACAAGGAGTTTCTAACRTAAGGAAGATCAGAAAAGCAACCAGGCACCACAGGCCAGTGCTGACTAAGCGCAGCCCGAGCCGCTCCTGTTTGCCCTGGGCGTGCACAGCCCCGGCTCCTCCTTCCACACTGACCTTTAGCTCCTGGAGCTTCCATCCCACGGGAATAAACCCCTGTTGCTCTGGAAGGGGCTGGCGTCGCAGCTCTCCATTCCACCTCAGGTACCTCCAAAGCACCCGCTGCCAGCAGCACCCACAGCACAACGTCTTGGGGTTTTATAGGTATAACCCCGTGTGCTTTCCCAGACATTTTCTTATATTTTTCTTTCTGTGCAGCTTTAATACAGAATAGCAACAGGGACACGCTGAAATCCCRCCAAGATGGACATCAGTCTGACCCGAGCTTGGGCTTCCAGAATTTCCAGCAGATTTTTCAACTCGGTGTTTCCAGTTTCACTAGTGCCAGGGATGGGAGCTCTGGTGGCCGCAGCGACAGGAGCTCTGGTGGGATGAAAGTCTTTTGGCAAAGCCTCTCCCTGCCCTGGGAAGCGTCTCCACTGGTGTTCAAGGCCCTGGCGTGGGAGCTGCTGGATTTGACATGTCCCTGACACCTCGTGTTGCTTCTCCCAACTGCATCCCYTCTGGGCAGGGAGGCACGCAGGGTAGTGCTTCCGTGCCCCACATCCCATCGCAGCCACTGGCCTTGCTGCCTCRGGCTGCATTGAAATCTGCTGAAAAAATACATATTTTTTATATATACATATTACATATTACATATGTCCTCCCTAAACTCCATGGAAGATATACCTCAGCAAAACCTGACACTTGATACCTAAAGCCTGTCCTTTACATTACCCTTTCACACTTAACTTTACACTGCAGAAGGTAGGAGGGCATTCTGTGGCCCTGCTTTACTGAAATGGGTCATTTTCCACAGTAAATTACACCTCTGGCCTTCTCACCTCCTTCAGCTTTGACCTTCTCTTCTCTTCTCTTCTCTTCTCTTCTCTTCTCTTCTCTTCTCTTCTCTTCTCTTCTCTTCTCTTCTCTTCTCTTCTCTTCTCTTCTCTTCTNTTCTCTTCTCTTCTCTTCTCTTCTCTTCTCTTCTCTTCTCTTCTCTTCTCTTCTCTTCTCTTCTCTTCTCTTCTCTTCTCTTCTCTTCTCTTCTCGCTTTGTTTACTGCTTTTAACACATATTCACACATATAGTCAACCCCTCACCCTCTCCCTTCCATCATAGTTGCCCCCTGCGACTTTTGCACCTTTTTGGGCACCGTTGCAGATGGGTCTGAGAGAAGATCTGCTGGAAAGAAAAAATGGAGAAAAGCCACAAAAAACAGGGTCACTTCCAATGGGAGCAGTTCCCAGTCTAGAGCAGTTATATATGGGCTGGAAGCTGGGACGAGAAGCACRAGGATGAGGATGGGCAGAGGAAACCAGAGAGGGAAGGAAAGGGGGGAGCTGGCAGCCACTGAAGCAACTTCTGCCACTGAGAAGCAGCTCATGAAAAAACTACATGCTTGCTGTCTTATTTTTACTGAATGTGTAATATCTGCTGCAGCAAAACAAATATCACTCTTGGGCTTTTGCCATGCCATGAATTTTTAATGTTTTCGTTTCTTTAATAGAGTGCATTAGGGTTGTAGCGGGAGCCTGTGACTGCGTGAGAGYGAAACTCCGCTCCGTTACCTGCTCGTGCACCCCCAAAACCATCTGTCCCCAGGATTTTGCAGCTGYGGAGCCAAATCCGAATGCTTGTTTGGTGAAAACTGGGTACCACTTTAAAGGAAAAAAAGAAAAAGAGGGGGGAAAAAATGCTTGGGAAGCAACTGCCTCTTCAAGCTGCAAAACCTTCAAGAAAGAGCTCTGTGATGGGACAGCGAATTGCGACATAGGAGGGCAAGATGCCCAGTGGCTTCAGCAGGATGCAGCCCAAAAGTGAGCTTGCAAATGCTGCATGCCTGCTGCACGCTTGCAACGCGCCGGGCTTTGCTGCGAGGCGGCSTGAGGATCACCAGATCCTATTGGGAGGGGGACAAATGTGGGGAGAAGGGCGCATTTAATGCAAAGCAGCTATAGGTGCCGGGACCGCCCGCAGCCGAGGCCCGGGCGCCGCTCCGCGCGCGCGGGAAACAGCGCCCCCACGTGGAGGGCGCCAAAGGGGGCGTGGCTGCGGAGCAGCCAATCAGCGCGCGCGGGGGGGCCGAGCGCTCGCAGGTCCATTCACAAGGCAACGGGAGAGGTGAATGGGGGTGGGTCACGTGGCGGGCGACGTCACGGCCCCGTGGCGCGAGGGGCCGGGTCGTGGCGCGCCGGGCCGCAATGGAGCCGGGCGCGGGGCCGGACTGGGGCCCGGTGGCCTGCGTGCTCACGGGCGCCTCGCGGGGCTTCGGCCGCAGCCTGGCGCGCCTGCTGGCCCCGCGCCTGGGCGCCGGCTCCGTGCTGCTGCTGCTGGCGCGCTCGGCGGCGCCGCTGGCCGAGCTGGCGGCCGAGCTGCGGCGCGGCGCCCCCGCGGCCGCGCTCCGCGTCGAGTGCGTCCCCGCCGACCTGGGCACCGACGAGGGGCTGCGGCGGGCGGTGCGCGCCCTGCACGAGCTGCTGCCCAGCGCCCCGGCCGCCCGCTTGCTCCTCATCAACAACGCCGGTAACGCGCGCTCCTCCCCTGCCACCCGCGGCTGCCCCGGCACGGGGGTCCCAGGGTGCGCGGCGCTCTGGGGACCGGCACAGCTCGGGTCTGTGRTGGGAGATGTGACCCGCGCTGGTGGCCTAGGTGGCAGAGGCTCCTTGGGTTATCCCTTGTGCAGATCTCCCCTTTGCTGTCAGAGCACAGAGACTTCCCCCTCACTGGTCTCAGGAAGCCTCAGGGATGAAGTTCCTACAGGATGGGCCCCTACACGTGAATTTGTCACCTCACTGCTGTCACCTTGCCACTGGGCTCATGGCAGGGCCCTTGGGGCCACAGCATCGCCTGGGCGACCCCCTGGAGCCTCTCCCTTGCAAACACAGGGGATCCAGGTCCTTGTGTGGCTCCATTCGGAGGGAGAAAGGCACAGAGAGCAYGCAGGGTGCCCTGTGGGTGCTCCCCACAGCCCTGGCATCTTGCCTGTGCCAGGAGTCAGGCAAAGTCGCTTTTCCATGTCCATAACAGGGAGCTGCATGTGGAAATGCAGGCGGAGGGGGGCTCCTGTGCCGCTCAACCTCCGGCTAAGCCCCCACGGTTCATAAGCAGCTCTCTGCTAGYGCCCGGTAATCGGGTTGAGGCTGCACAGCAGAGGCCTGGTAGCAGATTGCAGGAGTTCCCTGAGCCTCCCCCTGCCCCCAGGACTAACCTCCTGCTCCGCTTGCAGGCTCGCTGGGAGACGTCTCCAAAACCTTCGTGGAGCTCGCCGACCCCRACGAGATCAACAGCTACTTGGCCTTCAACGTCACCTCGGCGCTGTGCCTCACCTCGGCCGCCCTGCGCGCCTTTGGGCAGCGCCCCGGCGCCGCCCGCGCCGTCGTCAACGTGTCCTCGCTGTGCGCCCTGAAGCCCTTCAGGTCGTGGGCGCTCTACTGCGGCGGCAAGGCTGCCCGCGACATGATCTTCCAGGTGCTGGCGCTGGAGGAGCCCGACGTCCGCGTGCTCAGCTACGCGCCAGGTGAGCCGGGATGCTGCCCTGGGAGCCCATCCGGGCGGGAATGGCCGCATCCCAGCCGGCACGCGCGGTGGGGGTGCCCCCTTCCCATTGCTGGGAGAACGGGTGCCATGCGGGGAGGAGAGCGAGCGCTGAGTTTGGATTCACAGAATCCCAGGATGGTTGAGGTTGGAAGGGACCTCTAGAGATCATCCAGTCCAACCTTCCTGCTCCAGCAGGGACACCCAGAGCACAGGGCACCCGGTCGCATCCAGGCAGGTTTGGGAGATCTCCAGAGAAGGAGACTCCACAGCCTCCCTGGGCAACCTGTGCCAGGGCTCGGGCACCCTCACAGTTAAAGAAGTTCCGCCTCACATGGAGATGGAACTGTCTATGTTGCAACTTAAACCCATTGMCCCTTGTCCTGTCATTCCTGCTGGTAGGATTGCCTGTCCTGTCTTGTGTTTTTCCTCCAGGGCCTCTGGACACAGACATGCAGCTCTTGGCCCGGACTCAGACCGGGGACGCCGAGATGCGTGAGCATTTCCAGGGCCTGCACGAGCGCGGGCAGCTCGTGGACTGCGACGTTTCTGCGCGGAAGCTGCTGCGGCTCCTGGAAGAGGACGCCTTCCCCTCCGGCGCCCACGTGGATTTCTACGACGCCTGAGCTGCTGTCGCCYCAGCTCTCACCTTGGTGCTTCGCTTTCCACTGCGTCCCTGGGGYCTCTCCAGTGCGGTCACCGCTCCCGAGGTGCCTTGGTGTTCCCAAGGGGGACACACGACATCCCTGCTTTGCTTTGCCTTCGACCAGAGCCCTGCTTGTGTATCCCCGGATTCCCACCCAGGGATCTCGTGCTGCGGATCTTGTCCCACCTGGCCATCCCATTGGGGTCGCTGAGCCTGGCCCTGGGAAATGTGCGTCCTAGAAACTTTCTGCTCGACAGCAACGTCCCTGCAAACCTCTTCTGGCTCAGCCCTTCACATTCTGCATACCCTGATCTACAGGCATTAAAAATGTCACATCATGTCTGGGCCGTCTGCTGTGGTGCCCTCCTGGTACCTGCTCTTTCCACCTCGGAATAATTTTCTCTTTGGATGGGGGAAATGAGGCGTGGGGTGTTTTGGAGGTGGTTTTGGCGTGATTTGCTGTCCTCATTCWGAGCTAAGTCCCGGGATAGGAATCAAACCGGTTTGCTGCTCTCCTGTCTGGGCTTTAAGGCATCCTCGGCCTCATCCAATTTGGGGCAGGGCTGGAAGAGCCCCAAGCCACAGGCAGAGCTGGGAGGGTGACGGGGACGGGGTTGAGCAGGGCATGAAGACGTCCTGCTACCAGGCATGCAATAACCACAGCGGCTGCAGCTGCACCTTCCTGCCCTTTATTCCAGCCAGTCCCACCAGACCAGAGCTGACAGGCAGCTCCCAGCACCAACTGCAGCTAAGCCAAGCAAGCCGGAATCTGAGGGGGTTTTGCAGCTCTCTGGGGGCCTGGAAGCAGAGCCTGGAGCATGGAAGACACTGCAGATGATGGGTGCCAGGCYGAGCAGTTTGGGTTTTAGGGAACAACCTCCATGAAATGAGCCCGAGCTCATCCCCGACAGCATCGGCAGCTGGGGCCAAGTCTGGGCTTGGGAAGGCGTGAGGTGTGAGGCTTTGGTTGGGAGGGAGGAGGAGACTGATGTGAGCAGCGCCTTCCCTCTGCCTCCCCGCCTCGGAGCTGGTAAACAGCAGAAACTGGATGATTCCGCCTTTTCTGTGGCATCACGAGGAAGAARACGCTGCCAGTTTGCTAAATGTGAGCTTAAATCACACGCTGCCTTGCAAGCCTTCCCGTGTGGGGGAACACGCTGCTCGGGGACAAACACGAACCTGGAAGTTGGCCCTGAGTTCCTTTGTCTCCTAAGGCTGCCCTGTGCTCTCCGTTCCCGCACATTTAAGTGCGTATTTGGGATTCCATTGGGAATTGCCATCCCTCCAGCTGCCCTGGAAAGGCCTCGGTGCCCATGTAGCCAAGCAGAGCAGCCCTTCCTCATCCCTTGTGGCTCCCCCTCTGATGGCAGCAGCGCTGTTGGTGGCTCCATGGTCCATGATCCAAGGTCAACACAGGTCAGTGATCCAAGTGTTGGAGGATGGACGAGCAGACCCTCTTCTGCTGACCCTTGCCAGAGTGATGTTGGCTCCACACTGATTCCAGACACTAATTTACCCCCAATTTTCCTGTGGTATCAGTGATCCAGCAGCAGCACCGAGGCAGGAGGACCAAGAGTTAGAACCTTGGAGTCACCATCCCTTCAGCACTGCTTCCTTGAGGAGAAAACCCGTTGATAGCATCTCTGCTGCAAGAGCCAGCCCGTAAATCAGTGTGAATCCGGGGCTGTGGAGAGGTGCTGTGGCTCATGCTGCTAAATTTTGCTGGTGAATCAGCCGTGTGCTGCAGCGAGTTTGTCTTCGGCGCAGCCGCTCCCTCATTCGGCTCCGCTCCAAACTGTCACCCACGTGAGTCACTCCCGTAGTTCTCCGTGGGGACTCGCTGTGCACGTGCTTGGGCCTTGGCCAGGGCTTGGTGGCCTCCAGGGACACCCGGTGCTTGTCACTGAGCATGGGGAGTGAAGCACCAAGGGAGAGACGCCAGTGATGCTCTAGGGGCAGAGAAACCCTACGGGCCTGGTGGGTCTCTCAGATTAGCAACGTGCAAGTCTGCTCTGATGCCTGGTGCAGGAGACCAGGATGGGAGGGCAGGARCAGGGCATGGAGATGCAAACCTCCCCTGGGGTTCTCCAAGGAGTGTGTGAAAGAAGGACCAAGAGGGCTGCGGGTGGTAAAGGAGTTAGGAGACCATGAGGGGAGAGWCATGGTCAGCGTCTCCTGGCCGGTGGGTGTCCAGGGAGGATCAAGCTGGGGTCTCCCGAGGCGTYGGCTGCTGCCGTGGCTCAGGCCAGGGCCCCTCTGCGCTTCCCAAGGGCTTTTTCTCCCCTTTCCTCCCGTTTTCCGTGGCCAGCTGAGGGCGTAGCGAGACCGGCTAAGGGCCACGGGCCGGAGCGGCCGCAGCTCCGGAGCATCCGCTGCAGCAGCAGGAGCCGCTCCGCATCCCGGAGCCGCGGGCGGGAGAAGCTTCTCCTCACGGCTCCGCGCCGCGCTCCGTGGGTTCTTCCTAAGGGTCCGCGTGCCGGAATGGGGCTCRGGCCGCAGGGCCGGTTCCTGGCTGGCATCCCGAGGCCACCTGTGCCCAGCCTGCCACCCTCCTGTGCCTCTTTATTGGTTTATTTGCTTCATTTCTTTCCCGATTCCTTTCATGAGTTTTTTTCTGTTTTACCTCTTTTTTCATTTTCTTCTTTCCTTCCACTTTCCCCTTGCCCTCCCCTTCTTTCCCTTTTCCCGTCTTTTCTTCCTTTTCCTTCTTTCCCTTTCCTTTTCCTCTTTTCTGTTTTCTTTCAGCATTTTTTCTTTTCATTTCCTTTTCCTTTTTTTTCCCCCTCTCCTCTTTCCCTCCCATTCCCCTACCCCTTTCCCTTCGTTTTTCCATCCCATCCCCGCCGTGGCACCAGCGCGAGGCCATTCCCATCCTCCCAGGGCCACCAGCAGCACTTTTCCTGGCACCAGCTGCTTCCCCAGCCCGGATGGGTCCCTGGCTCCGGTGCCGAGGATTTCCCAGCYACTGGGAGAGGGACCTTTACTCCCGTGGCCAGGAGAGCTCCTGTTGTCCAGCCAAGGGTGACAAGCGCCCCCACCACGACAGGGCCACCAAGGAGGTGAAGATCCATCCGTGCCCGCCTTTCCCATGGGAGCCCTGTCCCATGGAGACCCCGCTGGACATCATCTCAAGRGTCCGTGGGGACATTTCTTCTCACTGATGAACCCACCAGGGCAACATCCCTTACCCTGAGCACCCCGAGCCACCAGCCCAGCACCCACCAGCCTTTCCCAGCATCCTGGGCGCTACCTCCAGAGCCGGACAAGGTCTTTTCCAGCATCATCTGGGAATGTTCATCAGGTTTAGAGCAACAGGGGTGTCCGTGGGCTGAGCTGGCCCATCTCACGCTGTCATTTGTGCGCCAGGAGCAGGGGACGACACCTCGGCGCTGTCACCCCGAGACTGAGCCCTTGCTCGCACAGGGCGGCTCTGAGCTCTCCTCACCCCTAGGGAAGCCCYGGTGTGTGCGAGGAGCATGCAGGGAGCCCGCAGGGTGTGCAAAGCCTCTCCGCTTCCCGCTGCCGGCTGTTTTCCCGCGGGATTCGCACCGGAGCCTCTCCGGGCGCGTCTCCCGCGGCTCGGGAGCCGGGGCCGGCGGGGCCGGGCGCCGCATTCGCATTCGCGCCGCGCGCGCACTTGTCAGGCGAGCTGTCAGGCGCCGGTAATAGGGCCGCGGCGGTCACCCGTGTTGGGAGTAAACACAGGCGGATCTGCGAAAACAAGAGCAGAGCGGAGCCCGCGCGGCCCCGGCGCCCGCGGCTCCCATCCCCGCGGCTCCCGGCCCACCCGCTCCCATCCCGACAGCTCCCATCCCAATAGCTCCCATCCCGACAGCTCCCATCTCAATAGCTCCCATCCCCACGGCTCCTGGCCCACCCGCTCCCATCCCGACAGCAATAGCTCCCATCCCAACAGCTCCCATCCCGACAGCTCCCATCCCAACAGCTCCCATCCTGACAGCTCCTGGCCCACCCACTCCCATCCCGACAACTCCCATCCTGACAGCTCCCATCCCAACAGCTCCCGTCCTGATGATTCCTGTCCTGCAGCTTCCATCCCAACAGCTCCCGTCCTGATGATTCCTGTCCTGCAGCTTCCATCCCAACAGCTCCCATCCCTACAGTTCCCATCCCGACAGCTCCCGCCCCACCCACTCCTGGCCCATCCGCTCCCATTCCAACAGCTCCCATCCCACCAGCTCCCGTCCTGATGGTTCCTGTCCTGCAGCTTCCATCCCAGCATCTCAGAGGCAGCTACATCCTACAAGGTGCCGGCCCCAGTGCTAAGAGTTACTGGTCCCGTCCTACGCAACTCCCCCCTTTTTCCCCCTTTTTTGCCCCTTTTTCCCCACCTTTCCCCCGTTTTCCCCTTGTTTCTCCCCCTTTTCTCCTCCTCTTTTCACCCACTTTTTCCCCTTTCACCCCCTCTTGCCCTTTTCCTCCCCTTTTCCCCTTCCCCTCTTTTCTCCTTTCTCTCCCCCCCTTTTCCCCTTATTACCCCTTTCCCTCCTTTTTCCCTTGTTTCTCCCTTTTCTCCCCTCTTCTTCCCTCTTTTCTCTTCCCCCTTTTTCTCCTTCCCCCTTATTCTTTTCCCCTCCTTTTCTTCCTTTTCTCCCACTTTTCTCCGTTTTCCTCCTTTTTCCCTTGTTCCTCCTCCTTTCTCCTCCCCTTTCCTCTCCCTTTTCCCCTTCCCCCCCTTCCCCTTATTCCTTCCCCCCTTGTCCCCCCTTTTCCCCTTCCCTCACTCTATTTTTTCCCTGGATTTTCCCCGTCCCCCCGCAGCCGCTGCCTCGGCCGCCGGCCAGGCAGTTGCTATAGGTATGTTTGAATCCCCAGCATGGTAGATTTTAATTAGGCTTTGTACAGATGGCCAATTAACATTCATTACTTTTGCCTCGAGCGATTAATTACGAGTTTGGGTGGAAGAAGGGAGATGGAGACGGGGGGGAAAAGATAGGCAGGTGAATTAAAAAAAAAAAAAAAAAAGAAGGGGGAGATTTTAATCAGTTTGGGGATTTATTTATTTATATATGTATATATGTTTGGAGATATATATATCGGTATATGGGCAGCGTGATGGTGGCGGGAAGGGGCAGGTGGGTGCATTCCCATGCCCCTCCAGGAGCCCCTTGCTGCTTTTCCAGCTCTGGATCTGCCGCTGGCTCCGGGCTCTCCGGGATTGGAGCGGATCATGCCGGGGAAAGCGGCGCCGGGCATCCCGAATCCCGGACGCCGGGGCCCCGYRTCCCGCTCGCACCTGCGCGGCCCCGGCAGGGTATGGCCCGCTCGCAGTCCGTGCCATGGGAATGCGCACATTTCCGCACGGCAA